TCAAGACATGGCCGATGGCCTGGCAGCCATGGCACCGTCGCTGGCCCGTCGCCGCCTCGCCGCCAGTCGTGTGGGCCTGACTGCTGGTCCAGCGGCTGTGTCGTCGCGTTCGCCGCCCAGTCGTCGCACACGTCAGGTTACCACGTACGTACCACAACGTAGATTTTACAATCCAGCTCGCGCCAAATATGTTGCATCACGTAGTCCGCGCGCCATATGTTGCAGAACGTAGATGGCACTGGACGCATATATACATACACACATATATATATATATATATATATATATATATATATATATATATATGTATGTATGTATACGTATTTCTATATATATGGCACCGGGTATATTGCTTTACATATATTGCACAATGTAGATTTGCACAACTCCTATTGCGCCACATGGACAGCACATCAGAGACTCCACCACGTATATCGGACAACGTAGATGACACTACATGTATTGAACCACGTATATTTCGCTTCGTAGATTGTATAGCGGTCGTTGCTAGAAACACACTGTTCGGGGCCAGCTATGGCTAACAATTCGTTACGTGAAATGGTTTGTTCGAGTTCGAACCCCCTTCCCTGCCTTTCCGAACAAGCAAAATCAGTGACGTGCCGTGTGCCCCAGGCCCACGGACGAGAACTCGAAGGGCCCACGTCAGAAACACGTTTCGTCGGAAACCGCTGACCTCTGTCTATTCAGTACATGCTGCCCCCGCAGTTCCTATTGCTTGACATGTCCCTCCAGAGGCCCCCAGATGTCAGTGCTTCACCCGTGTTTCCGCTCACGCCCCCCTCCTGGCCCGACTTGAGCAGGCGCGTGGGGAAAACTCCAAATGATCACAAAGGCGGGCGTTTCAATGCTACAGCCCCAAGTCGCGCAGGCGGACGCCGAGCGGTCGATCTGGGTTCGCCAAGGGCGCTCTGACGTAACCCCTCCCGAACTCGGCCTGCCTATTCCCATCCCGAGACACTACTCTGCAGCAGTTGCAATTCATTGTGGTCGCGCTGGCATGGGCTCTGCATTCCGCTTGGGCGCCACCGGGCCGCTGGCGGCGTGCGTCGGGCTGGGCCGGTGGAGGTCGGCGTGCAGAGAGCAGGCCGGGCATTGCGCAACCGTGTTTTGTCCCAGCACGATGGCTTTGCATTCGATCCGCGTTGGTGCCCTCCGCTGGGCCCCCCAGCGGCGCAAGCGAGCGACGAGCGTTGGCCGACATATCGTTCGAGCCGAGTGTGTCCGCACCTGGCCATGGGCGCAGCAAAGCGGCGTCGTCTGCAGTCTCTTGGGCGCTTCCGTTGGATGGGTTTGCGATTGTCGGCGAAGCGACGAGGGATGCGCAGGTGACGGAGAGGGAATGGGGGCAAGTGAAGAACGAAGAAAAGAAGGCTCGCTTCAAACATGTGGCCCGATACGAAGCGCAAGTTGGGCCAAGGGTGGTGGGTGAACACGTCCACCAGCAACTTCGGTGTCCTGGATGTGTCAATTATATCCAAGGGCATCCAAACGAAAACAGAAGCCTATATGAGCGCTTCGCGCATCCCCGCCAACGCGTCCGGCAACGATCCCCTGGGGAATTGCCCGGGGGGGGGACGTATGTAGGCATGCAGTGAAGCAGAGAGGACAACAAAGGTGAAAGTAGACCTCGGGGGCCCTTTTGGGAACCATGTTGGGGCCATTTGGGAAGCAGTTGGGTCTTTCTTGGGGCCCCTTTCTGGGGGCCCTTCGTGGGCCTCTCCAAGGGGCCTGCTGAGGGATCATCGGTGGACAACGGGTTGGAGCCGTCTTGGGCCCTTCTTGGGGCCCTCTCGGGTAATATTGGGGCCATCTTCGAGCCTCAAGGGCCCATCGGGGGCGAATTGGCGATAAGGCAACCAACTGAGATGTCCCATAGGATTTGGAAATATGGGGTACTTGGGAAACTCCGTGTCCACTTGGAAACCGTCTCCGGCCGGCATGGGCTAGCTTGAGCGATATCGGGCGCCATTTTCGACGATCCCGCGCCGTGGTTGGAGATCTTGGACGTTCGAGCACGTGTCGGCGTTCTTACCAAACCAAGGCACAAGGGGCAGGGGCGAGGCAAACTTTTCTCCGAAGGGGAACCATGAAGTTGGAACGGATTCCCTAAGCCACGCGCGCTCTGAATGGCTGGAGGGATTCTGCAGCGGATGACCAGCATCTTGCCGCCTTGGGGGACACCATGAAGCGCTTCTTTTTTTATCGCCTGGGTGATTGACGGTCCACTCGAAGCACAGTGCGGTGGATCTTGGAGCGGGCCGCTTCGCGCCCACGGCGACCACTGAGGTGATTACGACAGGCTCCCAGGAACGCCGCCTGAAGAATGGGGAAAAAAAGGGGGTGGGGTGGCCGAGATCTGGTGCGCACAGCTGTCTTGGGCCCCGCCGCGAGACGCCTTCCTCGATCCATTCCTGAACTCCCCCCGTTATTGGGGAGCCCACGAAAGACGCATGGACCCAGCTGCGTGCACCAAGATTCGGCGGGCGGGGGGGGGGAATGAGAAGGAGAGTGCCTTTTCAGAAGGCGGCGGGGGTTCTCAGAAGGCCTCGCGCCTTTGAGAAGTTTTCTGTGTCTTCGGGGGAAGGCTCAGGGAGCTTTTCGGGAGGCCGTGGGACTTCGGAGCCTCCTGAAGAAGGCCTTTCCCTTCTCGTTTCCCCCCTTCGCTCGCCGCCAAAGGACTGCCCCCCCCCCCCAGTCCTCGCGACCGACCCCGTGCCACTCGAACGCCCGCACAGGGCACAGGCTGTCGAGCGGCACGCCGCCGTGGGGCACCACCTGCGCACCATCAGCCGCAACAGCACCCCGCCTTCGGACAGAAACAAGGGAGGGTGCGTTGCATCTTCGGGGGGCCTCGTCTGTCCCCAGATTTGGTGCATTGCAGCGGCCTTCGGCCAGTGCCGCCGATCTGGGTCGCTTGGGGTGCCCCCCGGACTGGGCGGCGACACTTCGCCGACTGACACGCACGCGCACGCTCGCAGACATTACGCGCACACACGCACACACGCACACACGCCTGCGACGGATGCGATACGGATGGGGCTGCGGCGGGACAGACGGGCCCCCCTGAGGATGCAACGGGACCTTTTTAGGCAGAAACGAGGGAGGTAACACGCTGACGGACTGTCGGGTCGGATGGGGGGGGGCTCGCGATCAGACCGCGAGGCTGGTTTTCCAGGTACCGCCTGGCGTTTGACGTCCCGTATAGAGAAACAGGTTTGTTGCATAATCATGGATTGTGTTAGGCCTTCGTGGAAGTCTTGGACCTCCCTGGCGCGCGGAGCACGCCAAGGGCGCCGCTATAAGAGTCCGCCGCAGAACCGAACAATCCGCGCGGAGTTCCGACAATTCTGTTTGTGCAATTGTTTTTTCTTCGGCCCAACGTCAGGCTGGATTTGCTCAGGGGGATGCGTCGACCCCCACTCGCACATGGAGCGCCGACGGTGGCCCAAGAACCTGCCCCGCCCAGGCACACTATGTGGGTCTCGCCATCGGCTGGCCTGTCGCTTCTCCGCCTGCCATGCGATAAGTGTTGCTGATTCGGGGTCGATGCTTACCTACCGAAGATGAAAATCATGTCGGGTGGGCCCAGGCGCCGATCCAAGAAACCCGCGCGGAACGCCATACGTTCACGCTTGTTCCGTTGGTGTTTTTTTGTTACCCCCCATGACCCCATGAGCCGGGTTTCCTCGAACTCTGCCCCTCAACGACAAGTGCCGCGCGCAGTTAATATTTTTGCCTCGCCGCTGCACCTTCCCTCCCCTCGGTGTGCACGAGGCCGCCCTCGCGCGCGGCGTGCCCGGCGGGTTCGCACTTGGTTGCCACCTGTGCGGTGTCCCGATCCGGACACCAAAACATTCCACGCCAACGCTTCCATAGAGGAAGTAAATCGGCATGAACATACGCTGTTGGCGCTCCGCGCGGGTTTCTTGGATCCGCGCCGGACCTTCCTCCCTGGCGCGCGGAGCGCTCCAGAGTCGGCGCCGGAGGCGCCGCCAGGGGGCCCAGCGCGGATCCAAGAAAATCCGCGCGCAGCGCCACAAGTTTATGTTTATGGCGTGGTTTCTTTGTCGGCTCCAGGGGTCCACGGGCGCGGGCGGGCACAGCACCAGCCATCCACCTCGCGGCGATGGCCCGCGCGGTGGCCCCCCCCCGAGTGCGGGCCTCTCTTTGCCGGGCCCCGGCGCCGAAGGCTGGCGAGACCTGAAACGCGTCCACCCCTATCGTGGGACGGGGGCCGCGGGGCGAAGACGGCAAGAGCAGTGACGAGAAGTAATCGCCCGCACCGCTCGCCAGGGACAGCGCAAGACCGTGCTCGAAGAAGCACAAACGCTACAAACACAAACTTTCTGAGTTCCGCGCGCATTTCTTGGATCCGCGCTGGGGCCTCGCGACGGCCCTTCCAGCGCCGCCCGTAGCGCGCTGCGCGCGCGAAGGCTGCGCGTGGCGCCACAAGTTCATTTTTGTGGCATTTGGTTGTCCTTCTATGTTCGGCCCCCTCATCCACACAGTGAGGGCACGGGTGCGCGCGTAAATGGGCACGCGGTCCAACCCACCTTGTACCCCTCTTCAGCATTCCCTGCAGGCGCGCCAAATCAGAAACCGGCGCGTCGACAGGTGCCCTAAGGGAGTTTATTATCCCACGATGGCCTGGGGGTGCCCACCGAAGCATTGGGCACCTCGTGGAGCTTCAAGATTGACGACAAACGCGCACCGAGATTCATCAAAGCAAGATTTCTGCTGATGTATCAGGTGGGAACAAGGACACAGACACAACCAATCGTCGATGTTCTGGAGACGAGTGAACATATGAGAAAGCAGGGGAAGACGCACGTGCAGAACAGATGGGAAAACGGAAGGCTGGGCCCTGGGATCTGCGTCTACCAATCTGTGTGCCCCTGGGCCCCTTCGATGTGCGCCGTCGCCTCGGCACCTGCGCCCCGTCGGGGGGGGTGCGGGAGCAGGGCTGGCCGCCCCCCGAGGTGAGCGAGGCCGCGACGCTGCTGCTCTCCAGCACCGAGGGGGCCGTGAAGCACCTGTACTCCCGGGCCAGGGTCCGCGCGGGGCCGAGCGGGCAGCCTTCCCTCGGGCGTTTCGGCGGCGCGCGTTTCCCTCCTTCTCCCCCTCCTCCATCTCCTCCTCCTCCTACTCTTCCTCCTCCTCCTCCTCCTCCTCCTCCTCCTCCTCCTCCTCCTCCTCCTCCTCCTCCCCCTCCTGTTCTGGGCTCCGCTTCGTAGACTCGAGGAGGAGGGAGACTCGACGAGAATGATTCATTTCCAATGATGATGCTCCAACCTACTTTAGCCTTGATCACCAGAGAGAAGTTCGAGCGCCAAAGGAAGTACCGAAACTCAAGGGCTTTCACGCGTCGGGCCCTGGGAGACACTCGCCCGACACTGTTTCGACACCGTTTCGACACTCTTTTGGCACTTTTCCAGGTGCCCGAAATTATTGAATCGCTTCGCTCATGCCGCCGGCCCTGGAGCCCTCTTTAGGGCCTCTTGGGGGCCTCTTGGGGACCTCTTGGGAGTCTCTTGGGGCTCCTTGTCGGCGTTTTGGAGGCCCCCAGGGCCTCTTGGGGGGCTCTTGGGGGTAGTCGATTGCGGCTCCCCCCTCGGAGGCCACGATCCTCGTGAGGGGTGTCGAAAAATACCCTCCCCTGGAGTGGTCTGGTGGCTTCTCCTGGGCTTCTCTCGGGACCTTGCCGGGGTACTTTTCGTCCGGGGGGCCCCAGGGGCCGCTCCGCGCGCGCGAACTAGAAATATTGTTAACAAGTTACCGGAGATCTTAGCACGCCTCTGGCCCGTTGGGCCGGCGAATTTCTGGGATGCGGTCCTTAAGTAGGATGGGAACAGCATCAGTCGGGGAAAGAACAGGCACCCATGTTGCCACCCTTCCGCCGTTCTCCCCTCGTGCGGCCTCCGGGGAGGCCCTCGCCGCCACCGCAGGATTCGCCTCGGAGTCCCGGTCAGAGCGCACCCTTTTTGGGAGGTCCGGGGAGTAGCGGCATCGGTGTCGGTAGCTGTTGGTTCGTGTCGAAGGCGCGCAGAGAGGGGTAGGGGAAGGGGGAAGGCTTCTTCGAAGGAGGTTGCTCAATTGACAGGCGCGGTCCTTGTCTGTAGAGGTAAGGCCAGCGCCTGCTAAGAAGCAGCCTCCCAAGAAGCCTTCCCCCCTCCCCCTACCCCCCTCTGCCCGCCGTCAAGCGTTACTCCCTCCTGATAGTACTTTCCCTCTTGGCTTCCCTCGACGAACGGGCCAGCGGGCGGGCCCAACCAAGACAGAACACATCCGGGCGGACCTCCGAAAGTTGGTGATTACTCCAGACTTCGTAATAAAAGGGAGGGGTCTGGACCCTCCAAGACAAGCCATTTCAGACCCCCCCCCGTGGGAGAACCCTCCAAAACATGGTCCCCAGACCCCCCCAGGCCCTCCAAGACAGCCTGGAAGAGACCCCCCCCCCCGAAATGAGACCCCCCCTCCCTTTCTTACGAAATCTGGAGTGTGTTTCTCCTCGTTTTCCTCAGCGTCTATTTCGACTAGATCTATCCAGTCCGACATCCTGCACGAGCCGTCCCGGTCCATTTTTTTTCCCCGACGACCCCGAACGGCCTTGGTGCCTGCCTGGCCCTGGTGCGCATTCTGGTGCAGCCGATTCGATCTCTCGGCTCCTCGCCGATGCGGCCCGACCGGGCGCGCGCCACGGCTCGATCGGTCGACGAGCGCCCCCCTGGCCCAGGCCAGGAGCGCGCCCTGTCCGCCGGTCCAGGATCGGCGGACAGGACCTATGGGGCCCCAGGACCTAGGGCCCCAGGACCCCAGGACCTAGGGCCTGCAAAAAACCCAGGATTGCAAAAATCCTAGGGTTTTTTGCAATCCTTCGGTTTTTTGCAATCCTTCGGTTTTTGCAATCCTTGGTTTTTTGCAATCCTTGGTTTTTTGCAATCCTTGGGTTTTTTTGCAATCCTTCGGGTTTTTTGCAATCCTTGGGTTTTTTGCAATCCTTCGGTTTTGTGCAATCCTGGGCCCAAGGTCGGACCCAGGGCCCAAGATCGGCAGTTGCGCACCCCTGGCCCAGGCCAGGCCGGCACCCGTCCACCGGCCCCAGGCCCCCCCGGGCTGAGCGAGCGGTGCACAGGAAGGCACCCCAGGCACCACCACCGTGCCAGATTGCCCGATTATCGTTGATCTTGCCCTCCCTCGTTCTCTCATTCTCATTCACCTTTTCATCCTCACGCCCCTCATCCATCTGCCCCCCCTCTCTCCCTCGCTTCCTTCCCGCCCATCCCTTTTTGTAGCGGCAGTATTGAGAGACGGCTTGTTTCTTCCGCCGACGAATTGCATCACCTTGTCTGCAGCGTCGTTGACGCTTTGCCGGGCGCACGGCCGCATTTTGAAGCCCGCGGTTTCTGTGTCCTTGACACGGACGCGCTCCGCTATGTTGATGTCGCGATCGCCAGAGCCTTGGTCACGATCACTATGAGAGCTAGGTTAAAGGAGAACCATGAGGGGGGTGAGGGAGGAGGGCCAGGACCCAGGCCTCCGATTGCTCGACTCCTGGAGCTCTCTCGACCACTTCGCATCTCACCCCGAGCCGTTACGAAGCGGCGACTGGCGCAGTGGCGGGAGTCCGCCGTGTCTAAGAAGCACCATATGCTCTGCCTTGTCGGTGTTTTCGACCGTTTCTCCTCACACCCGTCGTCGCTGGCAAGCCTGCGCCTGTCGATGCTAACTTTTAACTTTTGATCTTCCCTCTGCCGACAGCATCACTCCCCCCCTGCTCCCCGACGGAGGCGGTGCTGGTGCCACGCGGATTCCCGAACGCCCACCCACCAGACGCTGAGATGAGGGCCGCTCTGGCGGGTTCAGGCGGGGCTCTGTTTCGGGGACCGTTCCCTCAATCTGGTTGTGAGAGTCGGGCACGTCCCTGCACCGGAGGAGTCTGCAGAAACAGTCGAAGATGTTTTGGGCGACGATGGTTTGAGTCTGTCTGACCATCTTGGCATCTTGTTTTAGGCCAGGCTTGGTGCTTCGTCGAGAAACGCCCGCTTGGTGGGAGGACCCGCCCGACCCGGAGTCCAGGCGTGGGGGCCCGCCCGTGGCCGGGGCTCGCCGGGTCCGGCGGCGGTCCCCCCCCCCCGGTTCCCGCAGCAGTCTCGGAGGTGGGCAGGCCTCCCAAGTGGTTGCCCCTCCTCCCGCCTCCTCCGCCTCCTCCTGCTCCTCCTCCTCGCTCTCCTCCTGCTCCTCCTCTTCCTCACGAGTAACTCCTCCTCCTCCTCCTCCTCCTCCTCCTCCTCCTCCTCCTCCTCCTCCTCCCTCCTCCCCCTCCTCCTCCTCCTCCTCCTCCTCCTCCTCCTCCTCCGCCCTTCCTCGCGGAGGACCCCTCCTGGCGCTCCCCGGGACGTGTCTGCAGGGGTCGCCCCGCCGTGGGGCCCGTCCAGGATCCGCGCGCGGTGCTCGCCCCGCGCCGCGCACTCGGCGTCCAGCCGTGGCAACAGCTCTCCGCGGGAGGAGGGCGGGCGGCCTGCAGAGTGCGGCCCTCGCCGGGGCGTCGCGCGCACTCGTTCCAGAAGTACTCCAGATTTCGTAATAAGGGGAGTGGGGGTCTCATTTCGGGGGGGGTCTCTTCCAGGCCATCCTTGGAGGGCCTGGGGGGGGTCTGGGGGCGATGTGTTGGAGGGCTCTCCCACGGGGGGGGGTCTGAGATGGCTCGTCTTGGAGGGTCCCGACCCCCTCCCTTTTATTACGAAGTCTGGAGTATGCAGGGTCGGAGGTGGACAGACCTCCTACCCTGACGCGTCGATTCAGAGGGCGTCGCGGCCGTCCTTTTTGCGAGAGGGCGTCGCGGCCATCCTTTTTGCGGGTCCAGGTCCGTCGGTTTCGGCCCCAGGCCGTGTTCGCTGAGGGGAGGTTTGCTAGAGGGAGGGTTGTCCACCGCCGACACTTATTTTTGTTGCACTGGCACGATGACTGCGTGCCCCTGTCGTCTGCTTCCTGCTCCTCGTCGACAACTTCGGCGTCTGGGCGTCCCTCCTTCCTCTCGACCTCCCCCTTCCCTCCTTGCACGCCGGCCACTTTTCGCTGGCTGGCGCCCCTAGCTAGCTTGTTCGCTGGAGCGGATGTCGCCGCCTCGCCGCTGACGAACAACTCGTCTGCGGTCGTTCTGGGCTCCGCAGCCCCCTCCCCGCAGGTGAGCGACGCAAGAAAACGGGGTCGCGAGCGACGCAAGGAAACGCGTGAGTTCCCCGCGCAAGGTCGCGCGTTTGCGCTCTCGTTTGGGCCGCGCCCCGCTCGAAAAGCTTCGACATGGGCGCCCAAGGCCCTTGCATCCTCATCGCGCATCCTTACTTTACGGGTCGACTTCGAAGACGAACAAACGCCATAAACATAAGCTCTTGGCGCTCCGCGCGGATTTCTTGAATCTGCGCTGGGCCCCCCTGGCTGCTCCTCCGTCGCCGCCCCTGGCGCGCTCCGCGCGCCAGGGACGGGGGCCCAGCGCGGATCCAAGAAATCCGCGCGGAGTGCAACCCGAATATGTTTATGCCGCCTTCTCTTAGAATGTCCTCTCGCGTAAGGCCCGCTCCCTCTTGTCGCTGTCAGGTGGCGCCCCCCGTGTTGCTCCTGGTGCTCGTGCTGTACACGACGCTCGCCGCAGGCTGCTCCCGGCGCCCCCGCCCCTCGACGGGTCGCCCGCCCTCCCTCGTCGACGGCGGCGCAGGAGGTCGGCGATTCGTCGAGGGAGCCCCTGGGACAGCACGCGGAGAACGCAGGGGAGGAGCGATGCGGATGAGGGCAGGGCTCGTGTCCAGATCTTTTGCAGCCCTGGAGCTTCGGGCTCCCTTCCCAGGAAGCCCGAGGCGCACTGCGGATGGTGGATAGATAAAGCTGGCCCCTGGAGGCTCGATGCTTGTCTCCATATCCAGTGCGCCTCGGTCTCGCGGCGCCCCTTCTCAAGGGGCTCCAAGACGCCCTGGATACGGATAGGAACATGGCCCGCACAGGAGGGAATGGGGAGGAGGGGAGGGACGCAGAGGAAGGGGAGGGGGGGAAGGGGGAGAGAAGGAGGGAGGGGAGGAGGGGGAGGAGGGGAGGGACGCAGAGGCAGGGAGGGGGGAAGGGGGAGAGAAGGAGGGAGGGGAGGAGGGGGATGGGGGAAGGGAGAGGGGGGGAATGGGGGAGAGAAGGAGGGAGGGGAGGGGGGGATGGGGGGAGGAGGGGAGGGACGCAGAGGCAGGGAAAGGGGAAGGGGAGGGAGGGGGAGGGGAGAAGGGGGGGGCGCGGGCAGAGCAGGCCAGCGCACACGCCGGGGAGAGCCGGCGCGCCGGGCGCCCGCGGGAGAGGGGGCGAGGCGCCGCCGCGCGCCCGGGCGCGCCCGCAGGCCGCGCACCACCCTCGGAGCCCGGCACGGAGGGCGGAGGAGGGCGGAGGGGCGGGAGGCGCCGGGCGACAAGGGCAGCGGCAGCGCCACGCAGGCAGCGAGGGACCCAGACCCCTCGAATAATGAAAAAATTATGACGGAAGGTTTTCTTTAATTTTCGGCCTCCAGGGGCCCTCACCAGGCCTCGGGAGCGTCAAAAAACGACTCAGGGTGCAAAGCCGGTCATGGGGAAAGGGTCGGGACCTCTGGGGGTCGACGTAATGAAAAAATCATTACGTCGGGGGTTTGGGGAGGAGGGAGGGGGGGGGGGGGAGGGAGGGGGGAGGGGGCGAGAGGAGGAGGGGGAGGATTCGGGGGGGGGAGGGTCTGGGGAGAGGGAGGGGGGGGAGAGAGGGAGGAGAGGAGGGCAGGCCGGGCGGCTGCCAGTCCCGAGAGCGGCGCAGAGGGCGATGCGCAGGCGGAGCGCAGCAGTTTGAAGTATCTGCCCAAGTCGGATAGAATTTGCCATATCCATGCCCGAATTGGCCACGCGCAGAGGGGGATGGGGTTAAGTCGGGCATGTCCCTCTACCGAAGGAATATCCAAATTTTGTCACAGAAATAGCCTGGAGACGATTTGTGTCATGCTTTGTCCCATAAATGTTAAAACCATGCCCTACTTGTCTTACAATACTGCTATTCCGCACTCACTTTGCACTGTTTCTCCCCGCCTAGCCTGCCAAGGTGAACCGACAGGGTGCTCACCATGTCTCCCAACAAGAACGCAACAGCTGTACAGCTCATGTCCACTCGACGCAAAAGGACGAGGTCCTGCGGCGTCGTGTCCGCTTTTCGGTCGTTCCTTCTCCTCTCCTTTACCAAATGTGTTTTTCCATTCCCCCCAGCGGCCGCCAGGAGGAGGGGACGCAAAACCCCCCATCTGCAGGAGGAGTTTACAGGTCCGCAGCTTCGAGCCTCTAGGAGGAGGAGGAGGAGGAGGAGCAGGAGGAGGAGGAGGAGGAGGACGAGGAGGAGGTGGAGGAGGAGGAGGAGGAGGAAAGGAGGAGGAAGGTGAAGAGGGGAAGGGGGACGGAGGATGATGGTGGTGATAAGTCATGTTCCCGTCCCAGATCATTACCCGCAGACGGATCATGCTCTCGTTTCCACGAAGGCCAGTTCACTTGCATCGCATGTTGCGCAACCACGTACACCCGCCCACCGGGCCGCCGTTCACTCAGCACAGGGCCGAACAAAAGCTTGCAAGTAACCGTCGACTTGCGTGAGATGTCCAGGTCTGTTTGAGGGGCCTCGCTGGGAAGCCCCCCCCCCGCCAAACACGCACGCTTGCCATAACGTGGCCCAACACGTGCCCGGGCAACAGGGCCTCCAGAAGCGGCGAGCGCGCTCCCACGTTCGCAACGCTCCTGCTCGCAAGAGTGCGAAACCCTCCAAGCACATGGGCTTTCTGTTTCCCGCGCAGTGCATCGCAAATCTCTCGCGGCGGATCTCGGCCATTGGCGAGCAGCTCTTCGGAAGAGCTTCTGCGAGCAGCAGAACGCACTCGTCAACCCGAAGCCTCTGGAGGCCAAGCAAGGGGCCAGCAGCGCCCGCACGCTTCCCTGCTCGGCCCTCGAGGGGCGGCCCTCCTGCTTCTCCTCCTCCCCCTCCTCCCCCTCCTCCTCCTCCTCCTCCTCCTCCTCGTCCTCCTCCTCCTCCTCCTCCTCCTCCTCCTCCTCCTCCTCCTCCTCCTCCTCTACCGCGCTCCTCCTCCAGGGCGCTGGCCCGGCGGGCGCAGCGGGGGACATCCCCGCAGCCCGTGGGCGTCGCCCCAGCATGCCAAGATCATGCGTGCGCGCACCGAGAAATCTTAAAATTAGCACACGCGCCAGCATGTGTCTACTGGATGTTCGGCTTCGGACGGCATGCATGGGGGGGGACAGGGAGAGGGGGGGGGTACGAAATCTGCTGCATGCAGCTGTTGTCGGCCCCACCGAGGGGCCCATCCCTCGATACATGGGCGCCTCCCGGCGCCGGGAGGCGCCAGGAACATCAGCTCCGTGAGCTGATTCTCACCCCCCCCTTTGCCATCCCCCCCCCCCCGCTCGGCCCGATATATGTTCGGGCCGGACGCGCGTCTCCAAGGACGACGTGTAGTACTAGTAAGTCTCTGTGCGTCCTAGCCTGCGCGCGGCTCCCGCGGCGAGGCATGCCGGGGCTGCCGGTCCCGATGGGCAATTTCTTGCCCTCCATGCTCATCGGCGCGCTGGCGGGGCGGCTTGTCGGCGAGGCTTGGTTTGACGGGGGGGGGAGCTGCCGCAGGCTGGAGCTGTCAGCCAGCCAATCAGGCGGGAGCCAAGGGAGGCGACGCCAGTCCGACCCGCATAGCTGGCGTTTGCCGGGCAGTCCTGGCCGTTTACCCAACGTCCGAGGCAACGGACGCGGGGGATCAGCAAGGGGGTGATGCATTGACCCCGAGTCGCCCATTCTTTGCTCATCGGGGTGTGGGTGCCGCACCCCCGCCCGGGAGCATACGGATTCGCCATTGGGGCCCTGGCGCCGACCGATCGGTAATTCTTCGCCGCCCTGAGCCGGGCCCACCCCCTTCTGTTGCCCTTTGCTTTCGGGTCACAAGTATGCTCCCTGGCGGAAGTTCGGGACGATTCGGGCGCCTCCGGAGCGCTCGCGGCGAGGCGCAGGCGCTGGTAGGTAGTAGGCTTCCCGACTACGAACACGTCCGAAGACCTCGAACCTCGCACCTGAGCCAGTCCACCCCCAACGTCCTCCCAGGCGGCGGCAGCGGCAAGAGCGAGCGCAGCAGCAGGAGGGCGCCGTCCAGACATCCCGTGCCCCGTTTTTTTCAACCCTGCGAGGCCAGAGGCCGTCCGTTGTGTTTTCGTTGTCCTCTGCGCGATCACGTCTCCGGCGCCCCCCCAACATCAATGTGTGCATCGCCCCGCCAGGGGCCGCGCGCCCACCGAGAAGTCTTGTAGTACGCGCGTCGTGGCGGGCGTTCTTTCTGGCCGCACCGCTGTGGCAACGATGCACTACAAGACCTTTGCGCTACATGTCTGGGTCGGACGCACGCCTCCGAGGAGGACACACGGTTCTAGGCCTCCTAGATGGGGTCGGAGTAGATGGGGTCGGAGGATCCCGCCGCATCGCCGATGCATCAGCGATGCATCGGCGATGCTTCTCGATGCGGAACCCGATTGGCTTCACGTCGACGTCGCCGATGCATCGCCGACGTCGCCGATGCATCGCCGGTGCATCGCCGGTGCATCGCCGATGCATCGCCGATGTGCGGCGCGATGATCCGACCCCATCCGCTCCGACCCCATCGAGGAGCCCGCGAACTACATGCTCGGGTCGGACGCACGCCTCCGAGAAGGCCTCGAGGCAGTTCTATGTTTGGTAGGTGGATCTCTCGAGCTCTCCGCAGCCTCTGGCGGTGTGCGTTGCGAGCGCTGTCGTGCGCTTAGTGGGCCCTGGAAACGGCAGGGCCGTTTTTTTACCAGTTTCGTTCTGCCGTTTTTGTTGCTGGTTCCGACTCCGTTTTCTTACAGGTTTCGTCGCCGTTTTTTGACCGGTTCCGGCTCCGGTTCCAATCCTGGAGCCGTTTCCGGTCGCCGTTTTTTTACCGGTTCCGGCTCCGGTTCCAATCCTGGAGCCGTTTCCGGTCGCCGTTTTCTTGCTGTTTCCATCTTCAAGGGACACTTTTTCGGAAACCGTGAAAAAACGGCCCTGCCGTTTCCGGGGCCCACTGATTACCAGCCTGGAACATACCCCTATCCCTATGCTGGGCATCTCCCCATCTCGATGCCAATCTTCGGGATCCCCTTAGTTCTTTGAGGGCGCATCCCTAAGACTGTCATCGCCTTTTGGCGCGTCAAGCTCAGGGATGGGGATAATTCCCTGACCTTCCTCGGTCGTCTTAGCCTATTAAATGACACGCGTGCTAAACGCGTGGCTAATTAGCTGAACCATATATATATATATATATATATTAAGTCAAGAGCTATTCCAATACCTAAAAACCTATTCCATGACCGAAAATGCTGTCTTGGGAGCTGTCTAGTGAGCTACCAGCCTCGAACTTAAGTTCGAGGCTGCTAAGTGCATGTTTTTCTTTGGATTCAAGCAAGGTTGCTTGCATGGACGGGGGGGGGGGGGGGCTGAGTCTGAAGCAAGCCGAAAACAGTTCGACGTGCGGAAATCACGCAAGGTCGAAGGGCACTTGCACGCTCGTGTTCGATGGAAGAGGGGCGAGGGGGAGAGAGGGGGAGAGAGGGGGGGGGGGGGGGCGAACGCCATGCAAGTAAGCTTGCCTGGATCTAAAGAAAAACAGGCTCATGGTGGGGATGATCTGTTTCCCAAGAGTGCCCCTGCAGCCTTGCCTCCTCGGTCGTCTCCGGTGCATCCTCACTGACGGTCGATGGCCAGCCCCGCTCCCAGAGCCTGCCCCTTGCAGCCTCGCCGCGGGTCCTTACTACATGGGTACGCCTCAGGCGATGCTTAAGAGAGCCCAAGTTTTCGGCCAGAGTCTCGATTCTTCTTAACCTTTCAATGTAAACCCTGAGATCTTGCAAGTAAGCCATGCAAGTAAGCTTGCCTGGATCTAAAAAGAAACACAGGCTGCCAAACGGAGGTCCTGCGCCCCGGGGCCTGCGTCGGGCGCCAAAAGGCCTCGCTCCTCGGCCGCCGGCGCCGGCGGGGAGCCTGCCGGCGAGGGCCCGCGGCGGGCGGCGGGCCCCGGCGGGATCAAGACGTCGGGCCTGTCCCTCAACAAAAAATAGGCAAACAAATAGGCAACACTAGTCAAAACAAATATATCCAGAAATAAGGAAAAAAATGGTCAAACATCGTCAAAACGTATTCGAAAACGAATCAGAACATGTTCGAAAAGGAAGATTCAAGCATAGTCAAAAAATAGTGTTGGGACGATTTTGTGCGCATATGTTTTTTTTTATGTTTGACTATTATTGTTGGGGTATTTTTTCATTTCTCGTCCAGCATCCGCCTGTAGGGAGAGGCATGCCCGACCCAACAGTATCGGGGAGACGTCAGTCTCGAGTAAGCCGGAACTCGGCTTTGCCGAAGTTGTTTTGACGAGCGCGTCTTGGATTTTGACGGTCCAGTTTTCGTGGGGTGTTTGCCGCGGGAGTTCGCGTCTTAACGTCTCCCCGACAAGTAGGGCGGCAGGTGTGCGCTCATCCGGGCAGGGCAGAGTGCCCCGCGATGATGGCGCGTGCATCGACGGGCCGTGTGCGGCTCTAGGCCTCCTAGATCTAAGTCGGGCATGTCCATCTGCAGGAAGGATATTCAAAGATTGTCAACAATAGTCTGGGGATGAGTCTTTCATATTGTTTGACTATGTTTGACAGTGTGTTCGACAATTCTAGACGCTTCGCGTATCCCCACCAGCCCGCCCAGAAACGACGCCCAGGCGAGTAGAGGGTCGTCCTGAGGGGCTTTTCTGCGTCTTGGGTGCCTCGGGGGGGCCTCTTTGGGCCGTTTGGGATCCTCTTGGGGGCCTCCTGGGGGCCTCTTAGGGCCATCTTGGGGCCATCTTGGGGCCTCTTGGTGCCTCCTGGGCGCCTCTTGGGGCCATCTTGGAGGAAATCGATCAAAGAAGAGGGGAGCTTCAATTAGTGCTGCCCCCTCTGGGGGCCAAAATGGGGCCAAAACCTTAGTAAAATCAATGATTTGGGCTTCCTCGGCGAGGCCGTTTTGGACGCTCTGACCGCTCCCCGCCCCCCCTGTCCAGGTCAGTGGGGAGGGGGTAGGGGGAGGGGTAAACCCCTCCCCGAAGGGGAAGAAGGAGGGGTGGAGGAGGAAACGCTCTAAACCACCGACGCCCAGAGGGCTGGTGGGATTATTGTCTCTGGTCCAAGGTCCGCCTGTAGGAGGTCATGCCCGACCTAACGTTGGATGCTCGCTCTAGGGACCTTCTGGGGGCTCACCGAACGGATCTGTTCGACCTCAGTTCGGCTCAAGTTCGACTCATATTCGACTCAAGTTCGACTCAAGTTCGACTCATGTTCGACCCAGGGTCGACTCAAATCGACGGACGTTCGACGCAGCTTCGACGCAGGAGTGGAGCGAATATCTCCAGGAAGTTCCCCAGAAGGAGCATCCAGGAGTGCCCGCGACGATTGCGCGGCGCTTCCATCGTCGTGCCGTGCGCGGCGGATTGCGCCGGGGGGAGCGAAAGCTGCCAAGGATGGGCCGAAGGTCGAAGGAGACAAAATGCATAACCATGAGCTTTTGGCGAT